AAATTCAAGATAAAACTTTTATCATTACTATGGACAGTAGTCGTAATATAAAAAAAGCAATATTAGATATGGAAGAAGAAGTTGGCTGGCTAAATTGTGCAGCTCATACATTGCATCTGGTTGTTCTAAAAGGGCTAATTTCAGCAAAAATATTAGTTAAAAGAGTCAAATGCTTAATCAACTTTTTTAAAAGGCCTAAACAAAGTGAACATCTTGAGGAAGTTCAGAGTAAATTTCCTGAAATTAACCAAACAAATGATTTAGAAAATGAAGACAATGATGATGATAATATTGAGATAATATAAATAACTATAATTATTAATTTAAATAACAATCAAACCTCATTATAGTCACTCTTGAAGTTACAATTTCGTTTAACGTTCTCTCCCATTACCTCCAAGTGCACCTTGAAATTCTGAAATTAAAAGCCAATCAGAATGCCCATTATATATATATTGATTTTAGTAAATTATATGACCACCGACCAACCAATAATAGTGGAAGATGCTTTATAATGTTTGTTTAGTCTGACTCCTTCCCTACTATGCTTAAGCTTCGAAAGGAACGTTAACGAAATTATAACTTCAAACAGCCTAAATGATGCTGGTGAAACTGGTGGCTATTTAAAAATTGATTGACTGTTATATCAAATTTCACCAGTTACACCACCATTCACCAAGAATTTTATCAGTTTTACCAGCATCTATGGTAATAACTTTGTTATAATCGCACTATTTTTTAATATTAAATATATAGAATTTGGCCTTCATATAGTCAACGTTATAATCTTCAAATTCTTGTTTCTCAACTTAGTGACTATATCAAGGTTGAACCATATTAATATTATTAATAATTTTAATATATATATATGTTTTAATTTATCAGTGTATCAAAAATGTTTCTGAATACTTACATGTCATCACCGATTGCCCCACACAATAGAATTCGTCTTACCTTGCTTGGAGTAGGCTTATTAAATTAAAAGATCATATTAGCCTTCTTGTAAACCTCCTTTCAACTAAATCTGATCCCGATACTAAAAAAAATCTTAAATATTTAAAAAAAATTTTACTAACCGATGATGAATGGGATACGATAAATGATCTTGTAGAGATTCTTCAACCTTTTTTTGAAGCGACAAATCATTTAGGTGGAAGTAACTATTGCACTTATTCAGTTTTGGTCCCTATTTTAATTGAACTTAAAAATAGATATCAGCCTAAGAATGGTATTGAAACAGAAGATATTAATAATTATAATAATAATAATGACAATCAAGATATATTTGATGATACAAGTGATGAAGAAGAGGAGGAAAAGCAGGCTTATGCGCCAATTAATATAGACATTGATGAGGTTAAAAATAATTTGTACAATGCAATGAACCACTATTGGTCTAACTTAACAACACCTAAATTACTTTTGCCTAGTCTTTTGGATCCCAGATGTAAAAATCTATCTTTTGTCTCGTTCGCTGAGCGGTTCGCTACTGAAAATCTACTTCGTGAAGAATATAATCAAATGAAAAATAAGTTAGATAAAGAAAAAAACAAAGTAGTTAGAACAGAGACTCATATAAAAAAACATAATACTAAAAGTAGCATCCTTTTCAGTTTTAAAAAGCATACGCCAGCTGTAATTGAGGAGATTTCAGAGTACTTAAAGCTTGAAGAGATTGATTTTGACTGTGATTCTTTAAGGTAGTGGCATGAGCGATGTAATAAATTTCTGATCATGAGCAGACTAGCAAAAACATATTTGGCTGTTTTTGCCTCTTCAACGGCTAGCGAAAGGCTTTTCTTAAGTGCGGGAAATTTAATAACTGCAAAGAGAACTCATATAAGTCCTAAATTATTTAAACGATTAATATTTTTAAAAAAAAATGAAAAACGCTTAGATAGTATTTATCTATCTAAATAATCTTTGTACTGTATTTAGAAATAGACTGGTATATAGTATTGAATTAGACTCAAATATGTATGTATGTACGTACGTTACCATTACACAAGATTTTTTTTATCTTGATTTACATATCAATATGTACCTATAGATGGGTGGGTAAAATTCTATAATTTACCTGTTATCATTATGAATTATATATATAATTTTTGAATCAAACTTTAAAATGAACTCTTATCTTTACAATGATTTAGCTTTGCTAAATTTTCTATCTGGATTTAAAATACATCTAATACAGGTATAGCTTTAACCGTGATTTATTTCTCCTAGATCCAACATAAGTATTATAAGCAAACCAAATAATCATTAAGGCCTTCTGCTAATATATACTCTCTTTATTTGTAAAAGTTACACCCTACAAACATAGTAAGAAAAAGAGATATAGGAACTCTACAAGGATAAATAGATAAGTTTGGTTAATGATTAGATATCTAAAGTGTTGTAGCATTAGCAATTGTCTTTAATAACTTAATTAGTGTTCGCTTTTGTGCTTTAAGTTGCTGCAGTTTTTAATTGGGCATCAGACAAGTAGTAAGAGTAAATAATATTAATGATCATATATTTAAATAACTAATTTCTCATTGTTTAATAATAGGAAGCAACATTAACTCAATGGAACATTTAGTTACTACAGTAGCAATTTATAAGCAAAAGCTGAGAATATGATATCAGTCACTGTCTGAATACCCATTCCGTAGAGACATTCACATTAAAGCAGTTTGATAATTACCGTATTATGCCCTAGGGTGTTATTTTGAGTAACTTAACTTGATCAGAGATTTTTTTTAAACTTTTATATTAAATAAATATTAAAGCTTAAAAAAATTCAGAAAATTAATTATTAGATTTCTTTAAATTAAACCACTCAAAATAACTCCCCGGTGCATTATTTTGAGATAATACGGTAAATATGAACTTGATAGTCCTCAGTTGATATTATGGCTGTTGAAAAGATTGGAAATGTTGTTGAACTGGCAATTTTATACTCAGTGTGAGAATTATTAAGATTTGAATGATAATAATAGAATGTATAAAATCAACCTTCATCCTTTATATTTATTGTAGAAGTATTGTAATTGATGATGTTAACATCAGTACTATTGGGTTAAAGAACCTTAGAAGTAATGCTTCAGAATCCCATACTATTTAATGGTACTATAAGGTAATAAAAAATTCGATTTAACATATGCGATAGTGTATTTATGAATGTGAAAACCATTTATTAATCTAACTATTTAAGTTCTTTAAAGAAGAACTACAATGTGTTTAGTAGAAAAATAAATTATATGATTTCTTTTGAAGAACCCTATTATCAACTATTCAACAATGGATAATAGCACACCTGTTGGAATGATAAAGAAGATACTTAAGTTACCAAAGTAATAGTGAACTGATTGCTATTTCTAGTGCTTTCTTGGTTGTTCTAAAATCACAAATGATTTTTGAATAAATATGTATTGATGTAATTGAATAGGATAATAACACATGATATATTTTTAGTTTATTACAGTCACGGTTGTTCTCAAACGTTCTCCTATATTATTGATTATTTAGAATTATAATATGCATTATATTGGTTTTAATCTAGTCAATTCTTATGTATATTCAGGACCTTTTTGATGATTGTTGTTAAGATCTGTTAGTTGAGAAACGTCTTGTTATAATTTTTCGAACAGACTAAACACAAATATATTGGTTAGTGAAAATTTAATTGAATATGCTAATGTTGTAGTACTGTTTAGAATATTATCGCTACGTATGAAAAAAATATATATAATTCACACCCAAACCAAAAGCTTAATACCACCAAATCAACAATTTATCGAATTGGCCAAACAATCATTTCTCTAATTAAGACCTTAAACAATTTCGTTAAAAAAATTTCGCTGTTAAGATAGAGTTAGGTTTTGATATTAAGTCAGGCTAGAAAGAGTTTTCTTAATATCAAAATTTAGTAAGAAAAATTTTTTGTTAGTACGCAGTAGGCAGTTTTATAGGTAAAATGTTGAACTATGAATAATTTTTTGGGTTGTGTTAAGTTTTCGCATTTTTTCTGCATTAACCTGATCTTAAAGTCTAATTTGCCTACGAATTTTTTAGAGTGATGATGCTTTGAGTAGTTCTTCCTGATACACCAGATGATTCAGTTAAACCGTTTCAGATATCCGATCTAAAAGATGGATATCCGAATAAAGTAATGCAGATCAATAGATTACAGATTTATCCGGATTGGAACTCTAGAAAATCTTTTAGAACCTATAAATAATAAAGCTTCACTAGAAACTGTACTAAACTGGAAGAGATCAGAAAAAACTAAATCATGCTACAAGATG